CCGCCAAGGAGCCCATTGTCCTAAAAGAGTAATTATCTCCCATACCCTGACCGAAGGACTCATCTCTAAATCTAGGAACTTGGCCTGTTCCCAAGCCACATATAATTTCAATGCACAGTCCCGCTCTCAGCTCAGCCCAAAACAACTCGGCGTTCGTGCAGTATAGGAAAGCATGATCCAAAGTTTCGGGTAAAGGACAGAGAGCACAGTTCGTTGACCATACTAAAAAAAAAAAAAAAAAATGAAAGCAAATTCTTTTTGTTAGTTACGTTTTTATGGCCAACACCTCAAAATGATAACACACAAAGAAATTTTTCAACGCGATTTTCACGTGATATTTGAGGATTCTGTGAAATGCGTCCGTCGAAACTGCTCTGTCTCTCACACATGAGCTGTGAAGTGGAGGTGGATATATACAGGGTGTCAGAAAAGAAAGTTTACACGGTCTTTTTAACCGCAAAAATAAACTAGGCATCGCCGAACGCTCATTCTCCGCCCAAAGGTAGATCTAGAGGTCACAACCAGATGCCAAAGTTTCAGCCCGATTCGATAACTTAATCAAAAGTTATAAAGTGATTTTCTGAAAATTTCAATGGAGAAATGGAGGCCCATTTTTGCCCGTTTTCAGTTTCTGGTGCCATAGAGCCCCATGTGTTCGAAAACTCCGTCGGCCGCCATTTTTCCCATTGAAATTTTCAGAAAATTAGTTATAACTTTTGATTAAGTAATCGGATCGGGCTGAAACTTTGGCATCTGGTTGTGACCAGGGCCGTAACCAGGGGGGGGTGGGGGGGGGGGGGGGGGGATAGGGGGTTCTGACCCCCCCCCCCCCCGAAATTTTTTTCTGTGTACGGCCCTGGTCGGTGCACTGGCAGCCAGCCGATTTTTATCTCCACCTCTGTGCACCGCGCAGTGGCGCCCGTCGGCTACCGGGTACCAAACCGGTACCAGGATCTCCGGTTTGCCTGTAACTCTCCATTATATGCCACCGATGCACATGATTCATAGGCGAAAATAAGACAATAGACACTTTCAAAATGGCCGCCGTTGTCCCCGAAACCCCCCCCCCCGCCCCCACCCCCCCGCCCCCCCCCCGAAATTTTTTTCTGGGTACGGCCCTGGTTGTGACCTCTAGTGCTGCCTTTGGGCGGAGAATGAGCGTTTGGAGATGTTTAGTTTATTTTTGCGGTTAAAAAAACCGTGTAAATTTTCTTTTGTGACACCCTGTATAACATGTCTAGGGTGTTCTGGTTGTGACCTCTAGCACTATCTTTGGGCGGAGAATGAGCGTTCGGCGATGTTTAGTTTATTTTTCCGGTAAAAAAGGACAGTGTAAATTTTCTCTTGTGACACCCTGTATAACATGTCTAGGGTGTCCCAGCACAGTGTTTTCCTCTTGACCTTTTGCAAATACTCTCCTGAGAATCTGCTTTCAAAAATATTTGATGGCAGCCTTCGTTCGTAGCTTATGCAGCCAGCAACTGTAGGTCGGAAAGTTTGCTGCCAATTTTCCTACAGCAAAGGCACTCTCTAGGCTCGAAGTCCTGCAGCACCACATTTGCACCCAGTAAAGAAATCGTACGCGTGCATATTCAACTCGAAGTACGCACTTCGTGCTCGACCTTCGCGCGAGCGATGACTTTTAGCCACGAGAAAGGTCGACGGCTCGACGACCGTCTTCGTGCAAATGGGCTTGGTGGTCGGGCGTGTCGTACGGAATGAATCCCAATTATTTTGATCGGTCCAAAATTTCTCTTTCGAAAGAAGACAGGTTCGCCGGTACAACGAACGACAGTTCTGAAATAGAGGTCCCACGCCCGTCGTCCGCTGCCATCACCGTCCAGCCAGCGAGTCCCACGATACGCGATACTACGCCACGTTGAGAATTACGCAGTGAACGTAGAGAATGCTTCCGTTTGAGAATAACGCAGTGAACGCACACCAGCTTGGAGCATGTGGAGCGAAAGCTCGCGCTGCAGAACCCAGGGATCCTGGGTTGTAATCCCCATCCTGCCCGTTTCGATCTGGTTCAACATCGTACAGGCGCGCGGTCGTGTACCACTACTGTGTGGTGCACGTTAAGGGACACTGACAGAGTATTTATGCTCGCCAAGGTTTTATTCGTACATTACATATGAGAACCCAACGACCCAGAAAATAACTCGAGGCTCGAAATTAGGAGACGAACGGTATTATACTTAGACTGTGGCAACTGCAAAAATTAACTTAGTGCGCAGTCGAGCTGGGGGAAGTTTTTCATTATGCGTTTTAACTCGAGACTAGGGTAGAACCAGGAAGGCATATTTTTTCCTCCTTGTCCCCCAGTCTCAGGTTTTTTTGTTTTTTTTACCTGAGACTGGGGCGCAAGGAGGGAAAATAGAATCATAGAAAAAATAAATATTCGAGGAAATTTATCAACAGACGCCACGAAATGTGGCTCTGCTAGCACATTTATCATTCTGTCTTGTCTCAAATCATATTGTACAGCTGCAAATTGTATTGCGGCAATTAAGCTCAAATAATTTTCACTCCCAGTGATATATTTTCCGTTTTAATGGCATATATGTTAACAAACGTGCCGAAGTTGAAAGCGTAAAATCAACTGCAGTAGAACTCAATGCATCAGAAGGAAAGAAAAAACAGTAAATCTTTCAAGTATGGCTTGTTGTTTCCTGGTGATTCTTATTTTTACCAACATGCCCCAACAGAAATTTCGAGTCTTGTTGCTTTTGACCGTGGTGAGTTGCAGTCGTTTCGTCCTGTGTCTTTACAAAAAAAAAAAAAAAAAAAAAAATTGACAGCAATTTTTTTTTTTCTTTTTGTATTGACACAGCACGATTTGAAAATGATGTCAATAATTTATTTTCAACTTTCGGCGAGCACTTTTTTCTCCAATGTATTGCCACCAAGGGAACAGAGGCACAACAGCTTATACGCGTCAGTTCTAATGCGAGAAGGACGGTCGCTTCCCACAATGCTTGGAAAGAAAATGCTGTACCATCGCTATTCACACGATTGCCAGCGACCTCCGCACTTGCCCGTGCCCCGTTCTTCAGCAGCGCTATGAGTTGCATAGTAAATTTTACAGCAGTGTGAAATGCGGGGCATTTTCAAGATTTTGGTATTTCTTGCGGGACGCAGGGACACGAGCCCTCAATGCGGGACAGTCCCGCGAGTCGCGGGACGGGTGGTCACCCATGTACGAATCAACAAGCTGTAACAAGCAATAAGTATGCATACATCGAGCTCGCGCCTTTACATTAGTGTTGTTGATCAGGAAGTTTGTTTGTTTCGTGCGTCCATAGAAAAAATATAACCTTTTGCACTTACTGTTTTTTTTTTTCAATACATGCGCCTGAATACCCGAGATAAAACTCGAAGTCGCCATTCAAAAGCTGCATTTGAACACACTTATCATGTTTTATCTGAACTGCCCCGCAGCATTGCACGAAATGAAGTCGATCCCCACCCGCTTGCATTCCACTAATATTCAACATCGCGTATGTGCATAAAGTTATCCTGCAATCATATAGGCACATTTGCCCATAGCAAAAGTCGAGCATTTGTGTGAAGAATGTCGCACCATTCGCCGGAAGTGCGCCGTACGGGCATGAACCCCTATGCGGTGCGCCAAACAAACGAAATTATTCAAAGCGCATTTGACGGTTGCTGATAGCCATCATATTTGTTATGTGTTTGCTTTCTTCCTGACTGAGTATGCCGAGATAATTTCAGACACACCGTTCAAGCACAGATCTTGGGCGTCAGTAAAAGCTCGTCCAAAAAGGCTTAGCGAGGAGTAGGGGACGCTTGCTAGGGCCCACGTCGTTGCAAGCTGATCTCAGCGTTTGCGAAAACTTAATCTTCTATCAGCATAAAATTTGAGGTTGAGATATGTGATGATACAAGGAAGACATCATAATAACTTTTGTGCTGTAGTGAGGTCGAATTTATTGCGTTTCCTTGAAAGTTCATACGCCAACGCTGGGCTCAACTTTGAGACTCGTGTGATGATGCGACTTGCTTTTCGCCCAATGAAGTAACAAGAACCGGACGTTTGGCAAACAAAATACGTGTAGGCTCAAGGTGACAAAATTTCAGTTGTAGTTCACTGGTACTAGACGGGATTACTGACATTGAGTTCAAAGATGCAATCGTGGGGTGAGGTGACTAAGCCACGTCTTACTACGTTTGCATACGCACGCACAATATCTGGTGTTTCGGGAAGCAAGGAAAGTGCCCCGGTCTTAGTTTTGTATCGCTCGAGAATGAGTGTATTGTACATTCGTAAAAAGTCAGATAATCGAAAACGCAAGCACCGTGTTGTGTCGCGGCGTGATAACACGAGATGAAGCTGCTCAGTCGAAACCGAAACTGAGTGGCCAACTAGTTCCCAGAGTGCACTGCGTGGTATTTCGCCGCGATGGAGCGCATCGATTTTGGAAGAAGTCTAGTGACTGTAACCACGATGACTGTAAAGGCCCGTTCACACTCTTGCGACCGAGTACGACTGAGAGAGACGAGATCTCTTACAACTTCTTAAATGTTTCTAGAATGAGGGAACACACTGACATTGTGGCGCCATCTATGCGGTGACCCTAGAACTGCATTTCACAAAAGCGAAGGTGTTGCGGGATTTCCGAGGTCAAATGTGCGTAATACCCATAGAAAGGATCGTTTATAACATTGACAAAAGTTGTTCGAGCCAAAAAAAGAAAGGATATTGCGCGAGAAAAAAAAAAATAATGCCGGACCGCCGAGTTTACACTGCTTCCCAATAGATGGCGCCAGTGTGTTCTCTGGTTTAAGAAGTTTTAAGGAACCCAGGTTTAAGAGGTCGCAAGCAGTCGCAAGAGTGTGAACGGGCCTTAACTGAAAAATCAGCTATAGCCTGTCGGCGTTGTGACGGCAAATCTCCAGATCTAACGAGAAATCTCGCCAGGAAACGTTCACCCGGCAACCTTGTCTTCAAGTGGCTATTTTCAAAATTTAAATCCAAGTCATCGAAATCCAAGGAGAGCCACATCAGCCGCCTCGCAGTCTGTCGTTCGCGTTTGCTCGTGTGTTAGTAAACAAATGATACGAATGTCCTAGTTTTACTGTCCCGGTTAGTGTGAACAACTTTAAATCAGCATAACATGGCCCATATGACAGTGAATCAATACTTGCAGCAGGTGAGGAAGGTATCTTCCGGTAGAAACACCAAGCCCCCTCATGGGTACTTCGACGGTGTTCGAATTTCAAATCGCCGGTTTATTTTCGTTCAGCTTGCCTCCTACAGCTATTTCGTATCATATCGAGTTAGCTGTGAACGAGAATTCCAACCTTGCACACGGAATATTGCCAGTAACTACGATCGCCATGAGCAAACCTGACAGGTCCTCGCGGTTTCCGTACGGCGGCCGAGCGACGTTGAGTGTCGTCGTCGTGAGCTTTGTGAATAAAGAGGGGGGAGGGGGGCAATAGTGCATCCTCGCGGTTTGCGTATGGCGGCCGAGAGGTGTTGGGTCCAGTTATACCCCGGCGTTGAGCGCAGTGAACGTAGCGTAGCGCAGAACGTAAGCCGTTCATTGGCCAGCAAGCAGGAACTCGATATCTGCAATCAATTTGTATCGGTGTGCGCTGCGCTAAGTCGCGTTTGCTAGGCTCGGCGCCGGAGCGTGACAGCCAACTTGTGAAGCCTCGAAAACCTAATTGCCCAGTTGTTAGCATTCTTTCTTGGGCCCCTTTGTAAGTGGTGGCACCCCTTTGTATACTTTCTCTCTTCGCGATGGCAAGCTGCGAACTCACGAACAAAAACGTTAATTCATCAATCCTTTTTTTGTTTTGTTTTGAGGGTGCGGGGGGGGGGGGGGGGGGGGGGCAATTAATTAGTGCTTTTGGCCTGCTGTGTCTTAATTGCTGTATTCAATCGTATTTCAGGTTGATGAAGCCCTCCAACAGGGCCGTGGCCAGAAAGCAGCCGTGAGTCTTTTTCTCTCGTGTTTCTCAGGAAACCGAGGTTTCCGTCAGTATCGAACTTGATTTGTGAAATAAATTTCTTGCTTTAATTTGTTGGGCGTCTAAGCCATATACGAGCAACCACAGTAAGAAAAAACGAGAGTATCATTGGCAGTTGCTTTAGATACACAGAAACCGAGTACTTACCAATGTAATGCTTGAAACAGAATCTAAGCTTAATGCAACTGCACCTTTCGTTCCAATACACTCTGAGCTTACCCGGCTGAAATGCAATAGTGCATCCTCGCGGTTTCCGTAAGGCGGATGAGAGGTGTTGGGTCCAGTTATACTCCGACGTTGAGCGCAGTGAATGTAGCGTAGCGCAGAACGCGAATGTAGCGTAGCGCGGAACGTGGAATTCACCTCATGGTGAATTCCACGGGTAGATCCGGAGCGCTTTCAGAAATCCGCGAGGGAGGCGAAATTCCGCTCTGTAAAGCCCGCTCCCAATCGACGAGCGGAAGATGGACGCACATTTTTAGAGCGACCCACCGATTTGTGCGAGACGGTCGGCCATTCAAAATGGCCGCTGCTCAGACTTGACAAGCCGACCGACGCCTCAGCCGACTGAGCTTTCCGATGACCAGTCGCAACTGTCACTGTTTAGCTGCAGAAATAACACACGACACAGGCCGGGCGGAAATATCCGCACCGTGGAGCCTGTGTCACAAATAACGAAGAAGACGTCCGCATTTGCCACTGTCACATACCTTTCGACCGCCTCGAAGCGGCTTAGCACGCAGTGATCGCCATCGGTGGAGTTCAGATTGCTGGTAAGACTAATAAACACAAAGGGGTAACAAACCATCACTTGTACAGGCGTTGCCTAATCTGTTCTTGCTTTATTGCACGAGAAAACGCCAGCGGCGTGCAGTCTAAATAGGTAAACAATCGTGCGAAGCAGAATGAACAGGCCTAACCTTGTGTCTGCCACTGGATTTTTTGTCATTCTTTTTCTCGTTCTTCCTCTCTTGATCACAGGTGTCGGTGCTTACGATTTACCACACTCCAGTCCCGGCTTTGTATCCCTGATTTACGCGAGGTAGAAAGCGTTCGAGCCGTCACAATTCCGCGTGAACAACCGACGCATCCGAGCAGATCCAACTCGACGGCTTAACTGGTCCAGCGATCTCGCCAACCTCGCCGCGCATGCGCAGTGCCGAGTTAAAGGGAAATGACGTAGTGCGCTCTGTCAACTTCCGCAAAGATCTCTGAAATTCCGCGGAGCAAGTTTGGCGAATTGGAGGCGCTCCATGGAGCAGGCGCTGCTAGAGATCTATGAGCGGAAGATGACCAACTCGAGCCAGATCTGAAAGTGGAATATGCCCGCTCAAATGGAGCGCTTTTGGAGCGCTAGAGATCTGCGAGCGGAATTCACCACCGGATAATTGGCATGGCAGATACTATTTGGTGCATATTTTTATGAGGTGTCTGGTTTTGTTTATAGCCATTTCAGCCGGTTTTGGCAGAATGACGAAGAGTAGCAATAGGCTTACCACAAACTGAGATTGCAGTCCATACCAAGGTGTCTGCTAACAGGCAAAATCAAGAGTTGCTAGGAAATCTGAGCATGGCAAAGTAACGGAAATGTTGAAGAATTTTGGCAGACCTTTGCACGACTGAGGGATATTTGTGTACAGATTCTGCTTTATTGACATTTTTGCCGACCTATGCATTCAACAACTCAAACAGAACTTTTTGGGCTCTCAGAAGGTGGCGGTCCGCAGCATTGCAACATCATCATCGTAACCAACGGCTTCAGCCTTTTCGGTAGACATTTTATGCATGCCAATTCTGCTGCAGGAATTGCTGTCGAGTAAGCATGCCCACGTTGCCAGCTCCCGCCTACAAGTGGAAGACCCGGAGCCAGTGGTTCAGCGTGTCATTGACGCTCCCTGGGATGAAGTTGTTTGTCAGCACCTCAGGTATGCCGTGGTACAATCAAAATGGTTTAACATTCACTTCTTCGTTTTGCGAAATCTGTTTCTCATGTCGGTCAGTAAAGAGACTTAAGGGTATTACAACTTTAAGACTGAACTTCCCTGTTTTTTTTTTCTAAAAAAAAAACACGTTTTTTTTTTGTTTAGCACTGCACTGAGCTTTGTTGTAGCAGCAATTTTTTAAAAAAAAGTGTACAGTCTGCATAGTGAAAAAAGAATGTTTTTTATAGGTAATAGCTCCTTTCAGATGTTTTAAAATTTCTCCCAACTCCGCTTTATTTCGTCCATTACTGTGCAAGTATGAAAATTTTTTTTGTTACTTATTTCACTGTTTCATGGCATTTCGTCCAAAGTGTGGCATGTCACTTACGTGGTTGGTTCAATATGGTATGTTGTCACTCGGAGTAACAAGTACGCATAAGTTCTTATTTATCAGTGTGTGCATTTCTCTGAGAAAGAATTGAAACCTTGCCGTTAACCACAAACTCAAGTTTGATGGCACATGCTAATTGGATATTTTCTTTTGTTTTCTTTTTAGATGTGTCTACCACATGAATAACTATGAGTTCATGGAGGCTTACAAAGAGCAAGCGATTCTTGTGCAATATCCTTTGCCTTTTCGGTGATTCTAAAGGAATTCTTTAGAAGTGTATAGCGTAACTAAAATTACAAACTGGCTCTCTAGCCACATGTTCTGCAAATTTTGCTTATGTCCGAGTCTGCTCTCTCTTTGAACCATGTGAGATTTGATAAAGTAATTGGGGGGTTTACAAATTATTGTGTGTGATAGAGTTGGACATCGTCTATGTCCCATTTTGCATTATCTAAACTCTTTTTTTATTCTACAGCTTCTATTGTAAATTGCAAAGGGGATACTCCTGCATTATACAACTTGCGCTACAATATACCTACTAATGACTGAGTTCCGGAGTTACACATTTGGTAGTCCATCCGAAACCAGTAGTGCATATAGGAACAATATTGACTGGAACAATTCAGGGAAATGTGCCTTTGAAGGATTTTTTTTTTTTGTTGCATAACTTACTATTTTTAGTAGTGAAGCCAGAAACTCGGTTGTTGACACCGAATAGCCCTGGTTTGAGGGTTGTCCTTAACAACATTGGTTCCAAGGTTTTCACCAAGATCCTGCAGTCTCTCAAAGACGAAAACTGGGCACTGCCCATCATGTATGCTGCATGTCTCGACCTGAGGCTATTTGCTGCACAGGTGAGCTGCAGTACCGTGTATACCACTTCGTTTACGTTTTGAGCGAAAGTCGTTCTCATTCTGGTGTTACGAGAAACGGTGAGAGCAACAAATTGTTTTACTAAGGGAGTTTTCTGGTCTCACAGCTTCCTTTTCCCACTCTGCTATCTAATCAAACTGGAAAGATTGGTGGTGCAACCCTGTCTTGTATTGTTTTAAAAGATTTCTATTAATCTGGGATGATTTGTATTAACCTTTATCATACAATTAGACACCCAGCATAAGCTGCTTTCATGCTGGTTATGACAAGGTGCTTCTTCCGAGTATAACCTGCTTGTTTGTGCTTCTCAAGATAACTGGTGTGGTTACAGACATCTCTAGCTATCGCTCCTCTTTTCTCGATATGCTCTACGGAGCTTTAATTATGGCTTAGAAGGGATCCCAGATTTCTTTATTGGAATCATACGAATGTCATTTAGTAATGGTTCTTTTGCTCACTCCAGGCAGATGCCCAATTATCCAAAAAGGGAAAGGGCAAGCCCGGAGAGACGCTGGAAAAAGCTGCCGAACTTCTAATGGGCTGCTTCCGCGTCTGTGCCAGCGATAAGTAAGAACGCCCAACTTCCTTTCTGGCATACCTCCCTGTTCAGAGCTACCGTTAGTTTAAAGACTAAATGCTTCAGTGTAGTGGGTGCTAGTGTCCCTCTGAAATGGCTTCTTATGCCTTTTTTCCTTAATTCATGAAGTGGGAAAGTTTTCCTAAGCACTGAAGTATTTTGTTACTCTGTAGAATTAAAATTCGACTGAGTAGCATTTTGTGCAAGTACGATCTTGTGAAAATGGCTGTCACTGATTTAGAAAAAGAATTGTACGTTCAAAAGTTCCATTTATTGAACCTCAAGTTTGTTTTAACAGCCTTTGCGAGCTGAAACTTCAGTAACCGTCGCTCTCCTCTCCTCGCAGCCGATCCTCTCTGGAAGACTCTAAGCGTAGGGGAATGCTCAATTTGGTCAACCAGCTGTTCAAGATATATTTCAAGGTTGGCTTTCTTTTTGAGTGAACACTGCCCATATGCCCATTTCAAGAAAGGGGTTTTTACTTGGCAGCATGTTATTAAACGTCCATTTCTTCCATAACCCTACAGATCAACAAGCTGCATTTGTGCAAGCCCCTCATCAGAGCCATCGAGAGCTCTACATTGAAGGACCATTTCAGCATCTCCCAGCTGGTCACGTACAGGTAGTAATGGGGTCGTTATCACGATTATCGTTGCCACTGTATTGATTGAGCACTTGCATGCTATTTTGGGCCTGACCTTTTGCACTTGTCTTCAGACTGTGACATGTTGTTTAGATTTGAGTGAAGAACAGCTGGGTTCCTTGCAAAAAAAGCATAATAATTCCTCTTTCAGGTACTACGTTGGACGAAAGGCCATGTTTGACAGCGACTTCAAGAATGGTATGCCTCGAGCAGTTTGAATGCAATTACTAGATTTATTTAACATTTGCTACTGTTACAAACTTTGTTCTGAGGTTAGCATTATTGTCAGAATCATCGGCACAGTAATCTTTTTTTAGGCTATCAGCCATCGCAGCATTATCAGAAATCATACGTTAGTAATGCAGGTTCTTCTCGTGTCAAGTAAAATAAAGCTATTGGCACTCTCTATACTGCCTGTCAGTGCTCGCATTTGTTTTTTGTGTATACATGGTTCATAAAGAACAACATCGCTGATTTCTGTTTCGTCTGTAGAGCAAACTAATAAATTGTATAGACAAATAAGTTCACCTTATGGAAAGGGTGCTCAGACACCGCTTGCAGAATGATATTGATGTCACGACTTCTGAATTTCAGCGGAAGACTACCTGACGTTTGCGTTTCTGCGTTGCGACCGGGAGTCGGTGCGGAACAAGCGCCTGATTCTCATCTACCTCATCCCGGTGAAGATGCTTCTGGTGAGACGCGCATCGTTCTGAAACACCTCACCTCATGCGCAAAATTGGAGCCTGCTGTTGCAATCATGGTCCTTGTACATACGCAGGGTCACATGCCGAGTGAGGGCCTCCTGCGCAAATACGACCTCATGCAGTTTTCTGAGGTGGTTTCCGCCGTCACGTGAGTCACCAGCGCCTTTTCTCTTTTTCACGTCGCATCTCGGCGATTGTTTACGTGACAGGTCCGCGTTTCGGCGGACGTTTCGTATACGGGGAACTTTTGCGATGACAGGGAAGGGAACCTGCTGAGGCTGGACAACGCCCTGTCTGCGAACGAGGACTTCTTCATCAAGAGCGGCATCTACCTCATTCTGGAGCGACTCAAGGGAATCACCTACAGGAACCTCTTTAAGAAAGTGTACGTAGAGATTCCCCACATCGGAGGACGATTAACTGGGAAACTGTTAACACTGGGCTTTTTGAGTGACTGTGAAGGGAGTTTGGGCTACTGAGGTCTTTTTGTTTTTAAACTGCACATTGAGGGCTGGTTGACACACTTGTGACTGCTTAGAACCTAGAGCATTAAAACCTCGTGATCTCTGATGACGCGAGAACATTTGCCGTTCTCACATTTTTCTACCTACTTTTTTCGCGAATTATTCTTTCTTTTGTTGCTCGAAAAACTTTTGACAATGTTATAACCGACCATTTCTCGTTGACAGTATGTACGTTTGGTCTCAGAAATACTGCAAACCTTCGCTTTAATGAAATGCAGTTACAGGGTCGCCTCGTAGATGACATGCCAGCATGCCAGTGCATTCTCTCATCACGAGACATCTTGAGAACTCGGCCGTAAGCAAATCCAAGTGTGTGAACGTGCCTTTAGGTCGCACATACGGCATGTAGGAACCAAATTCCTCCTGCACCAGTCATTTTTGCCGGAAATTAATAGACACATGCTAATATTCTATTTTCATTTAACCTGGGGATGAGTACCGCGAAAAAAAATTCTAAACACTTCTCCCATTTTTTTTTGTTTTCTTTCTTTAAATTGAATTTGCAGACTTTTATTTGCCTTTTTGTTTTCCAGGTATCTGCTGTTGAAGACCCACCAAATACCCATTGAGGCATTTCTTGTTACTCTCAGATACATGAAGGTATGTTTGTGGGCTGCCAAAGAACTTTGGTGCCATAGTGTTGTTTTTCATCTAGCATCAGATTTCGACCGGGCCTGCTCAAATTCTGGTTTTGAAGGCAAACTTTATAGCCCACTTTAGCGTACACGATATCCGTCAGGGAACACTTCGTAAGTATGCGTGGCTTTGAAAATGAGCGGAGGTACCACGAAATTCCGAGCAAAGCGCCCATCTGCTACTTTTGAAATGTTTGAAGCGCCCACTCCGCACTTATGAGCCTGCTGGCAAACCGAGACGGTCCTCTGAGTTAACTGCTTGTCTGAACACGCCGGTGCAACGCGATGAAGCTCGACGCTTGTGCATCCGTGCAAAGCGGGGAAGGTGAGCCTCGTCTACATTTTTGCTCTGGGACCTAGCAGACACCCGTCTGTAGGTGCTTCCTCGGTATTTTTCGGGAGGCTTGTTGTTTACCCGCAAATTCAGATCTATTTCTGCGTGCACGCGAGGGCCGATCAGTTAGCCCCGAACTGTACAGTCTGTACCAAATGTGCATTATATACCTAATTCAACATACCCCATGTCACGCGTTAGTATAGTTTGTCAGTATATGTTCCACAGTCGTGCATTTCCATTAATATTTAGTTTTTGGGTGTGGATCCTCTTTCTCCATCCAGATTGAAGACGTTGACCTGGACGAACTTCAGTGCATCATCGCCAACCTTATATACGAGGTGGGTGCGCACGGCCCTCGTAATGTGGGCCTTAATCGAAGGTCTCACTGAACGACCATCTTAGTCGGGACAAAGCATGGCCATTCTGGACTGAATCTGTATTATGTTTTTGACTCATTCGGCTCTATTAGAAAGTCTGTACATTCAGTCACAGCTCCACTTAGGTAAGGAATAAATCCTGCGTGGTGCAGTTCTAATGTCAACTTTACCTGTAATAACTTAAAAAAGTACCGTACAATACCGCACATTCGCCCAATCCACATTAAGCGCCCATATGCAAATTTCTAAGATATGAAAAAATATGCACAGTACATTTATTTGTAAAATTGATGACCGGACAAGCGCCCCTTCTCCATTTTTCGCGATTATCTCTAAATTATAAGTGGGCACTTGCCCGGTATTTCACGGTAGATAATTTCCGAGTGAAAAGCTTCATCACCATCCTCATTATTGGAGCGTGCACTGCCCCACGCAAGGAGGTTATAAGTACTAGGGGGGCGCACATTGCAATATTGGTGAAGCCTAGTCGTAAAAAGTTTAAACGATTTTGTGCCCAGCGTGACCGCAGATCTGTCTGGCGATTGGTGCATGTGAAGGTCACGTGTGAGATGGACGGTTGATTGTAGAAGGATTCCCTGCAGGCTTGCACGCGCTCCATCCGGTAGGTTTTATCAGATCGAAGGCTAGACGAAGCTAGCTACAGTCACGTGATGTGGTCATGTCGGACTGATAAGTGAGGAGTGTAAGGAGGAAAATGAGAAAGAGGCGAGGCGTCAAGGGACCATGGCTTGTGGAGGCTACGTGGCTCACGTCATTCCCTCTCCTACCCTTCTATCCTCCTTGGCCCCACGGGAAGTGTGTGCTCCATGAGCAGTGCAGTCGAGCTCTGGGCCTGGGACAGTAAACATCACGCTCAGCAGCACGCCTTCATTTTCCTTATAAGTTTGTGCTTGTCTGGCCTTGTCCCCTTTTTGTTTGTAGTACCTTTTTTTTGACAAGTATACAAGCATTTTTGTAAAAATCTTCCCAAATTATGTTGTTTTTGTCGTTTAAGTACATCATGCTCAGTGATAAGACCATTTCTTTCCAGCTTAAAATTACGGGGAGCAACGAGGACACCATTTTGTATGTTGCGTCATTTGCAGCTGCTTTAATATTGACATGCCCGTCTCTGCCATCACAAGCACTATAGATCAAACACATGTGCTCTTAAACTGGGTTAACGTGAACCGAGAGGTTCGCACAATACCTTCAGAGGTTCCCCCCCCCCCCCCCCCCCCCCCCAGCTCCCAAATTTTTTTTATCAATCCTGCCCCCAAGCAAAGTTTCCAGTTTATGTGCCATGCCTTAGTAACCTTGTGCAAGACACTCCTTGGTATAGGTGCATTATTCCTTACCGGATCTGTAGGCCTTGCTTTAAAGGGATACTACAACGAAATTTCGGCGCTAATTTTTTGGTTTATATGTGTTCAAAAAAGCACCATCAAATCAAACATACCAATATTTTGTGAAAAAAGTCACAAAAAGGAATTTTAAAACGTATTAAACGATTAGCAAAGAGCACCTAGTGGATGTCGCTAACGCCTCGCTTGTAATGCCCGTCTAGGAACCTTGGCAGCTAGTGACGGAGGTTGTCTCGCCTCCGGCCACGACGAGAGAAGAGGGGCAGGAGGAACTCCCCTCTTCCCGAGAATGCCTTTTGTGTATCGCAGAAGTCGCTATTGTCCCCCTACAAGATTATAGAAGATTAAGCCGTCACTCAAAATTTGTACAAAAGCAGCCGCTTTGGTGGCTGGAACGACTAGGCCATCCTCTCTACGTCAGCCTCGCCGTAGCTTTGCTCATCTTGAAACGACCTACGTCACGATTGCGTTGAATGTCGGGTGGTCTCCGCTGGGCCTTCTCCGAGCGCTTGCCAGAGTGGGCCGTTTATAACGAAAAATACAGCCACCAGGCTCAAAATACAAACGTGCGATTGTCATTTATGGATATTGTGGATCATATTCAACCTATTATTGAACACGACGGGAATATTTCAAATTTCGTTGAAGTATCTCTTTAATGCAGAGGTCGGCGGCCAATTGGCCGCATGCTGCGTCCGAGGTAGTTTCATGTGGCCCCTAACACGACACCAGAAAAGCGTCTGCCCTTTCCCCGCCCAGGGGTGGAACTGCTGCGCCGTTTGCGCCAAACTGCACCAGAACGAATAACCTGCTACATGCTGTTCCAAAGGCTGTATGTGTGCACAATTTGCGCCATGCCTGCGCCGAAAGGGAACTGTTCTCGGAAAGGAAACGAAGTGTCCAGCACGTGGCATTCTTGGCGGTGCCACTAAAAATGAAGAAAGTACAGCTTTTTTTTTTTTTGATGCCTACTTATGCACGAAGAGTAGGGCTGCGCGAATATTCGAATTGTCAAATAGTAGTTTGAAATAATATGCCATTTGATATTCACTTCAAAATTGTGACATTTGTATGTTTCGAAGTGTTGATCGTGGCGGGTTAGCCCCCTTTGAGTGCACTTCTCCCCAAGCACCGGTGCACTGCGGAGAAGCAATGCCTGCAAAACTGACCTCGCGACTCGCTTCGCAGGTGCGCAAGCGCGCACTTAGAAAACACACTGGCACACGCGCGCACCTGGTGTGAAAAAGAGAAAAGAAAAAGGGAAACGTTGGGATTGTTAATATTTGCATTGCAGTAAAATCTTCAAAATTTAACTGGCTTTTATGCAAGGCAGCGATGTTCTAACAACCGAACCTGTGTTTATCATTTTTGCTTGTTATTTTTTTTTTTTAATTCAGAATTGAAGGTAGTATTTCTATATACCAAAAATATTTATAAACCCCCTCCTTTTTGGTTTAATTTTATGTCAAATCTGTCATTTACATGCTATCCCAAAGTAGGTATTGGACTGTCTGAGGCCACAGCCTATAAATATAATTAGATTAAATTTAACGGAGCTCATAAGTAGGGAGTTAGAAGCTTGGGAACAACCTTCACAAGTTCAGCTGAATTTTTGTTTAAGCATGGCATAACAGTAGTGAAAGGCGTAGAGAAAGCCGCAGTAACTATTCAATATTCAATTAAAAAATATTCGGACAAAACCACTATTCACTTTGAATTTGCTTTGAACCCAAAATCACATCAATTACAATGAATAGGTCGCACTACTCATTATGGTCGGTTAGAGCAGCTATGTGCTTCGCTTAGCTGCTCTGTGAACATTAGCAGGTTGAATACGAACGAGGGCAGCGTGAGACATGTTCAACACAAAAGTGTCCGTTTCATGTCGAACTCGCAACAATTATGTCACCTTGATACAAACCCTACAAAGTGGCCCAAAACATTTTTTACGTCAAACACCAACCGAAGCTGCCATTGGTACTTCTAATAGGTTAATTGAGACATCTGCAGAATTACCGATGTATGATTGTTCAATAAATAAATAAATATCTGTAGAGGCCAGATCCCCTGTAGGTATGACACTTTGAATAGTCTGCCAACAGTCCAACTGCAGTTTTTTCCACAGGCTAACTTTCAAAGAAATCATATAAAAATTTTTGACATGAAAGCTGAAAATTGTCTGCTCCAAAAGTGGGAAGCTATGCTTCAAAACCCACTGTTTCCTGTTACAAGAGCTGCTCAAAATCACCACTTGTCAGTTCCACCACTGCCTGCCGCTTCCTAACACAGACTCAAGGACCACACGGCAGTTTTGACCTCAAATGGGTCTAGACAGGAACAAGCACCCCCCTCCCCCACCTTCAGGACTATCCATCTGGCCCCCTTCATGCTTTGCTTTGCGACAACTAGGCCAACCGATGTTGTTGAGACCAGATGGTGTTCCTGTGGATTAACCCTTTCCAGACCCCGAGAAAAGCAGCAATTTCCATAGGACCCATCCAACTGCTGTTCTTTTCCTAACTAATTTGCACATGCAGAAATATGACACATCAAAATGTGGCCAATTAGTTGTTCTTTCAAAAGAAACAGGTTAGTCTAATGTGGGGAAAAGATTTTAAAATGCAATTTTTTAAAAATACAATCTATGTGTTGAAGGCGTATAAATGCCGAAACTTCTACAGCTACGTCAAATAAGAAATAAAAAAAACAACAGGATATGCACAATGTGCCCCACACCCACGGCTCTTACTTCACAAAGTTTGTGTACTCTGACGTCTCTTTTTGATTCGTTGGAGTGTTGCCTCCGTAACTTGTGTGCTTTGCAATGAAGGAATGCTTATATTGGTGAAACACAGATAGTACACCTCAACATCCTCAGTAAAATGCCTCCTTTATGTTCTACCTTGGTTTTGTCATAGCCTTGATTGCAGTTCCTTCGTATTTAGCAGTTTTATCCGCCTTGTCGGTAACATAAAATGTGCACGCCGGCTCAAAACAGCATTGAAAATTATAGTGATGCCTATAACGTCGTTTAAATTGTCCCCAGAACTCTTGACGTCTAAAAAATATGTCACAATACAGTTGAATTACGTAAAAAAAAAATGCCGCCTTTGTTACGAAGATTGATGCAAGCAGTGAGCCTGTTATGGTGTTGTGTTTGGTGTCCTATCCCGCCCATACATCAGTAGTAATCCCGAAGGGGCAACTAATAACTTCACAGAAGCCTGAGTGTCAAGCTGTAGCCTATGGCGATTCTAGCGGTTGGCCATAGAAATGCTGGTGAAAAGCACGAGCGAACGCGAATGTTGCTGCCGTCACGGTGTCCCAGGCGTCCCAACTTCCTGCTGCTGTAGCTTCCGTGAACTGTCGTGAAGAGCAACCTGCAGCAGAAGAGGCGTCTGCCATATCCACCACAGCTGCTGGGACACCGCCAGGGTCGCGACCGGCGACAGCGTGACACTTCTACAACGTCATCAGGCGGAAATCGAGGGACTACTTTTTTGGGCGCGGTAAACACACCAGTCGGGGACATGTTCCAGGCACCATGGCCGTGTTAGATAAGTGCAACAACCATTTCCAGGCCTATTTTTGACAGCACACCAGCTTGTGATCAAACGTTGAAACCGAAACTACTATTCTTCGGTTATCCACGAGATTGTAAAACATAATTCTCCGCGCTTAATTAAAGTTTTTTGTTAGCGCTTGGAAACCATTGATTACCAGTAGTTGATGACCTATGGGCGTGGTCAAGAAGGCCTTGAAAGTTTGGGAACTGGTGGTTTAGCTTCCAGCCAATACCAAATATCCTATCATTGCCTTGAAGCAAGGGTTTCAAACCACTATTACGTGCTCCACACGAGCATTGAGGTAGAATTCCTAGGCTCAAACCTGATCGGAATCTTGTCATTTGCCTATTGACTTCCATAAATTGCCAAGGGTTGACTTTCCGCGTTCAGTGCGAAAAGGTGTGCGTAGTAGCCTCACTCACAAGAGGCTCCAGTATTCAGTAAATTTGGCACATATCTAGTTCCGACCTGGACAACTTGAGCCTAATCTTGACGCCATGTGCCGATGGTAGACGCAGAAATAGGGCTACATGCTCACCTGGCTCCTCTGCATTGCAGGGCAAGATCAAGGGGTACATCTCGCTGCAGCACCAGAAGCTGGTTGTGAGCAAGCAGAACGCCTTTCCTCGGCTGTCCAGCTTAAACTAGGTCCTGGGCAGCCTCCCATGTACATACATTTGTCATGAACCCTCGTAATAAAAAATGTTGTCCATTTCACTGTTATAATTCGGCCTGCAAGTTTGACTACTTCCGAGTTTACTTAGTAAACTTTATTCCAGTATTTTCCACCTCAATTTGTCACACAATTTTTTTAGAAACGGTAGAAAGAAGTGCAGTGTAACTAACCATGAAGTAACATTTTCTAATGGATTTGGCAAGGTCTTTATAAGGTCAGTGCAAACTAATATTGCCCAATCGAAGTTATCGAGATTGGCTATTAATGGTGCAACCATTGTTGTTCATAAACTGAAGGAGAGGAGACGACGTATTTGGGGACATGCCCCCCCGCATACCTTCCCCCATATCTTCCTCTCCATATAGTTTTTAATTCAACCAGACTGTTTTGCAGAAGGTTTGGCACCTACTTTGGTGAGGAATCACAAATGGCGAGTTCTTTAATAAAATGTTTCGGTCGTTTGCACTTGGACTATCCAAAAAAAAGTCAACATCAGCTGAGCCTACCCCATATCATGCACATTAAAGTAGCACTAAATAGTGTTTCTTTATAACATATCTATTTCAAGTTCTCAAGTATTCATGCCTTAGGTTGAAAAATGTTGAATGTTTCATTGCTTCGTTACAGAAGAGAACTGTTCAATCAGCAAGGAAAAATTGCTGAGGTTATCGCATTTGAATGTAGCCTTACTATCACCATGCAGATTTGGAAACATTCATAGAGCTGTTCTCGAATTAAGTCTTAAAGGGGCCCTGCAAGGACTTTTTACTGTTTTTTAATTTGCACCGAACCTGAGCGCACTGAACGTAGTAACTTAGTGAAACTTTTCTTTTCGCGAAATTCGCTTTATTTTAAAAGTTATAGGCAATTTAGAATTACAAAAACAAGCAAAAAATAACCTTCATGACGTCGTAGGTCCTGGCTTGAGCGGCCGTGAACTAGAGGAGGAATAGTGAGCTCATCGAGCGCTCACGGCCGTCGCACTCCGTGTCGACGGCGCCAGAGGGCGCCACTAAAGCATGTTCTCGATAGGCTGTATGCAGCGGGCAGCCAAAGCGGCTTTCATTGCGTTTTCTGCGCGATTAAACACTAATTCGGCATGACACTTCATCGGCCACAAACGACAGCAAACACGGCGTAAAGATCAGTTCAGAATGGGAGCCACTTCGCGCTGCCATACCGCGAAACGGCCAAACCGCAAGACAAAGCCTCTCGCCGAAGGCCTTCGGAACGCTCGGAGTCAGTCGGATCCTCCTGTCCATACGACTGCAGCGTCACCGCGTACATCCGGAATTTGTCCGTGTCGGCGCATTATCCCACTACTCCTTTCTAGTATGCGCCGCTTTTTCCACCGCTTGGCGGCGGGTATGTCGACGGGTCACTTCTTGTTTCGTACTTTATAAGCTGCATTTCTTTCTTTTTTTCATTTATAATAGTGAACAAAAACTACTTCTATAAATAATTGAAACGGTTCGCGCCACGTACATTTTGTATTTCGACCAAAAAGAAGTTTTTAGTGGCTCTGACCAGTAGTAAGCCCAGGACCAAAGACGTCACATTTTGCGCGCTTTCGGTACCGCGGGTCGCCCTCGTCGGTGGAGGAGGTTTCCGTGTCGTCCGGTTAAAATATGGCGCACTGATATTTAGCTACTCTTTCCGTGCCCGCTGGCTTGCCCGAACCCCAAAAGACGTGGAAACCGCATAAAAGGTAGACGCTTAAATATGATTGCAGGGCCCCTTTAATATCGCATCATGCCGATGTCCGGGGTTACCTGTATCACTTAGCCTTTCACCATTCATCCACAATGGAATTGCATCGCTAGCCTGACAACTGGCCATAGCTCGGGTAACATAACGAGCACCGCATTTAACTACAATTCCCGGAAGGCATCTCTAAAGAGCGTGTTTGGCGTCATATTCCGGCCACGCACCGAAAGTGGTCACGAAGCGGTGACAAATCACATCGCAAAAGCCGGGGCGTCGCACAGTTGGATGTCACAATCCTGGCGGTTGGGTGCAAAAGTTTCGACAAATTTTCCGAGGACACCTAAGCAGTACTTAAGAGTTGTGAATGCGAAAGCATGAATGTCGTTCTTCCGCTCCCTTAGTTCGTCTGCGGTGTACTGGCCACGTTTTGCTACTGCCGAGGTTGCCGCCGCCGACTATATGCTCTGTGTGGGAACTATAAGGGGCACTTTGAAAAATGCGCGTAGCGCCGCTGGCAGAGGAGCTGGCGTTGGACAGCATTCAGCAGCCTGCGGCGCCTTTTCGCATGCCAAGCTGTGGCGGCGAAAGCGCACATAGACGAAACTTTTGCTTTTTGAGCTGATACCTTGTGGCTGACGTTGCATGGGTGCTGGGGCATGCCTAAGAGGGGCATCTAGCTTTTCTCCGCTTCTTATATATTGAATTCGAGTCATTAATAGGGGCAATTTCTCTAGTTGCGGTCGAAAAAGGGGTTTGAGCAATTTTCCGAAAAGCAGGATGGCCGCCACCATAATTGCTCTCGGTGGCACATTTGCTTCGCTCGTCGCTGTAAACGTAGGACTGCTGGGTCGATGATATTTGGAAGCGAGTGAGATGTTCACTAAATAAAAGTGTGTTCACCACTGTCTCAGTAGGGAATTTGTTTCGCTCGTCGCAAGAACAGTAGGACTGCTGGGAGGATGATATTTGGAGGCAAGTGAGATGTTCACTAAGTTTGTGCATTAAGTGTGCCAAGTTTCATTAAGACAGCAGACAAGAAAGTTATGTTTCGAACGAGGTGGCACAGCGAAACCAGGTGGAAATTTAGTTTGGGTGGCGTAACTGAATGGGAACCTGTTTTAACCATGCTAAAGGGGTGTCCAAACAGGACACTACAAAACTCACGACTCCGGCAAATCGTGAAAATTGAAGCGGACACTTCTATTTTTACGGTCTGTCGGAGTCGTGAAAATGTTTGCAGGAGTCGTGAAAATTTTTACGATCACGACTGCTCTCCTCTTCAGATTGATGTCACACGCCACCTGCGTCTGGCTCACCTCGCCAACGCCCTCGCGTACCGCCGTCGCCTCGGCTCGAAGGCCAAGGAGGTCCGGCTTCGGGTGGATTTGGGACATTCCTGCGTCGAAGGGTGCGTTTCGCCCGCCTCGGATCTGCTTTCTTTGTCAAGATTCACTTTCGTCGTGATGGCGTCCGATGCGGTTCCGTATTGTGAGCGGAGGCCTTGAGCGATTGACCGACAGCCAACACAGCGTGTGAGTGGCTCTCCGGACCGACGTGATAAGCAGAGCAAGGCCGCCGTGGAGGAAGCGAAAGGGAGATTTGACGGAGGGAAGTTTCCCCCCGGGAAGAATTGACGGAGGGAAATTTCCCTCCGACGGCCGGAAGCGGCTCGCAGCAGAGCGCGACATGATTTGCCGGAGTCGTGAGTTTTGTAGTGCCCTGTTTGGACACCCCTTAATACTTCACAGCGCACAACAGACAACACACAATCAAAACAGATCCACACAAAAAAACAACTCTCGCAGTGCTGCACGAGTGTTGTTTCTTTGTGTGGATCTGTTTTGATGGTGTGTTGTCTGTTGTGCGCTGCAAAGTATTAGCATGATTAACCAACTCGCCCACGCTGAAGTACTGTTTTAACCGTCAAAGGCTGTCAAGAGAATACTACTCGTCGTGGGAGGTGCACACTTTACAGGAGGGAGGGGACCAGTGGACTGTACTTCCAGCTCGTACAACTCCAGGATTCTAAGTTTCATTGTAGTTTTCCTTAGATTCATATTTGTCACTTTTTGGACCGTCTGAATCTTTCTTCGTAAGTACAGACTGTGTGCCATGCTGGTCTGGAAATATCATTGACATGGACGATGCGGACGAAGCTTCTTTGGAGGGCATTCCTCCAACGAAATTGGCACTGCATACCCGCGAGTGTGGGATGGCATTTCAGTTCGTCCCATCGGCGCGCTAACATATGTAGGCTTTAATGATACGAAAACAAATGCAGAGCGCAAAGCGGCAGCGTAGAATATGTGAGCCAGGCTGACAGTGCCAGACATGATCAAGAGACCAAATTTCTCGTGTCGTACGGCACGGGTCCATCGTTGTCGCTGTCCCACAAAACACCGGGGAGTTGAACAACTGTGAAACTTTGTCCTCACTAGATACAATGCGTAACTATTGGAGTACTTAATGATGCAGCAGTTCACGCAGTTAACCCAGCGCAACCACACCGCTCTGACTTCAATGCATACCAATGTATGCAACGTGGTTTCTTTTCGCTAAGGTTCTCACTGCCCACCGTGCAACGCAACCGGCGGTGTGCCGGTTGCATTGCACGGAATGTATATAGATGCCTCAGGCACTGAGAGAAGCGGTCGCAGCCCCCATCCCCCCACTCCAGTAACGCTAACTCGAGAGCGGCGGCTGAGCGCACGCGCTCTCCTGAAGCGGCTGCCAATAGCTATCTAGGAGACGTTTCGCTCAGCCAACGGGAGAGTGGGCATTTCTTTCGCATTCTTTCGCGGTTACAGATGCCAACGGCCTTGCTCCATGGGATAGTTAATGCTTTTGCATTAGAAGTGCGAGCAAGCGAGTGTTGCTGTTCTTGCGGTGTCTCAACCCCGGGCTGCCGAAGCTTCTGTGGACTGTCAAGCCGGAGAGCGACCCGCGGCAGAAGGGGCACCTGCCATGCGCACCACCACCGCCGCCGCAACACTGCCCGGATCGCCTCCGACGAAAACATCTACGACGTCGTCGCGTAGAAATCGAGGGACAACATTTTAGCGTGCGGTAAACACATACCAGTCGGAGACGAGTTCCAGGCCCCATAGTTTTACCACTGCACGTTTGACGCGCTGGGGTCTGGGTCAGGTCGGAATGACCAGACTCCATGCAGCTGGCCCGTTGCACCGAAAAAGCACCTCCCCATGCTGCTCCGGCGACGTCGCTCGACGTTCCTGATTTTTGTAGATCAAACGGCGTAACCTGGGTGTACGTCGCGCCTTCGTGTTTCTAGCACTTTTGCGGCCGCATCCGCGTTTGCCGACGGAGTGAAACGGCGGGGCGAGTCTTCCCGACGTGCCTTCCGCCAGTTCGATGTCTCGCGCCTTCCAGGTGCGCGACACAGTGAAGCATTGTCGGAGATAGGAAGCTCCTCCCTGTCGTTCTTGCCTGGTCGGCGACTACAAAAAGCGTCCCTTAGTTGTTTTTTTTCGCAGAAAAGACGGCTTTTTCTTGTCCTTGCAAATGCTTTCTGGGTATTTTTGCTTCGCCATGTCTAGTAGGCACCAATGTCCCGCTCAAGCGCGAGTGTGTGAGCCAGCCTTGGTGTACTTGAAACATAGAGTTAAAAGCTCTGTAGCGCACCTTTACGTGGCAGCTAATCCCATGCAGTAGATCGAGCTAAATGCACGGTGGGGAAGAAGAAAGACCGTAGAAACTGCAACATTTAGAAAGTCGGGGAGGAAACGAGCTGGTGGCAATTGCTACACATAGCACAACCCCCAGACTGCAGGAAGCAAAAACGATTAGAGACTGTGTGTGCGCGTCATTCTTACTTCCTGTGGTTTCGGGGCTGTGTTACAGTCTAAGCTCATTATAACAGACCTGGTTACAACAGACATTTGGATACAACATACCAATTCGTGAAGTTCAGTTGGTTTTTCTCTACATACCATTGGCTTAATTTTATATCTGCCATACTACATACCATACTCCTTTTACAACACACCAAAATCTTGGTAAAAATCAATGTCTGTTATAACGAACTTGGACTGTATGTCTTTCATTGTCTAGCTGCACTCGTTCACCAGTCATGGAGAGGAGCAAAAAAAAAAGAAACACACAAAAACGAGACATATTTATTTGAACACCGGTGCCCTTTAGAACACCGAGACAACTTATACTCTCCTCAACTGAAACAGCCATTTGGGGAAAGTAAGGCGAGTCTGGCCCGCGGAGCCGAGACGTCACAACTAAAACTAAAACCTCCGCAGTGCTCTCGCATTTTAAGCATTCGATACGATATCTAAAAATCGATGTCTAAGGTTGTTTTCCAACACGTCAAACATTTGAAGGGTACCACCTCCTCCTTTCAAGCGCACAGCACCCCCCAGATTATGAGGAGGCCCCAAAAGCCCTTGGCTCAACCGAGCAAACATTTCGCGAATCTTCGGCAGGAAAGCTCATCGAAGTATGACAAGTTTTCTTTCCGAACTAACTAAGCAACTTAATTTTCCCTCCACATGGACATTAGTAAGGCACCTGAACAACTGCTAAACTACTCACAACTCCAGGCAAAGCTGTCGGCAGCTAATTATACTCCAATTCATCTTACGACGCACTGCAGTGGGCACTACAAGCCATCGGAGCCAATTCAATGCCAGGGCAAGGTCATGCAACCTTTAAATATAGACAGCAATCTGCCGGGTGCACAATCACACGACACTATTGTGACACTGGGATTATCTTCGGTGGCTCATAGCATCCTCCGCAGTTTGTCGTAAGGTGAAACGGGGCAGAGTAGCTAAAACATGAGGTTGTGAAAATGCGTTTGGCCTTCCATTCGTGACTGCGGCGAAATCGGAGCAGCACCTTCCGGTTAGAACATCAAGGCCTGTCCGCGCATTTACACCATAGTGCAACCTCAGCACTACTATACTCGTTTTCCCTTCAAGAACCGTAGTAAAAAAAGTCCAACTCCTTGCCGAGCATTACTAATTTCCCTAATGTAGAGAATTACGATAGAAAGAGGTGTGTTTTCGATAAGATATATGTATTCTTATCAAGATGTATATGCCTTAAACGCCAAAAGCATCGCTCCTTCCACCGACAACCAAATCTTGTCAAAACTACTCTGCATGGTGTATGAACAATGCACAAAAAATCATTTTTCTTGGGGTGAAAGCAAGTATAGTTGGTGCTGGAAATAATGCTGACCTTGCTGATGCAGCACTAACTTCGCGCTATATTAGTGACACAGTGCCAATACAGTCGGCACCGTCATTGCCGTTCGTATGTTGATTTAGCGCCGCGATGCTCGTGCTTTTAAGCTGCCACGTCAGTTTTGCAGTTGTGTTGTTGGAGTTGCAAGCAATGGCTCAATCGGGTATCCATTTGGCATTGGTCACGTGTTTGGTGGAAGAAGTGCGCGACTCTGCTGGGCTGGCCTCTTGTGCACCTTGTGGGTCTGTATGAAGTAGAGGTTCTCCACCGGAGGGGACGCGTCCTCCACGGTGGCGGAGCTCGGCACCTCCATCTTGGTGACCCCCGTGAAGCGAGTCTCTCTCTCCATGAAGTACACGAGGAGCTCGACCAGTTCAGGAGCCTCTCTCCACTCCGAGAAGGGCTGCAGCTCTTCCTGGTCGGGCAGGCTCGCAAAGTGGGCCGACACCAGCTCCGTGTCGTACAAGACCACCTGCGTCGGCGGGCACAAGAGAAACGTGCAATCGGCTAAGAAAGGTACAGTTCTTTACAAACCAAAAAGCAAACAGTGGCGAAAAAAAGAAAGGACAAGAAGACGGGGTAAATAGTGTTCGAGACGGGGTTTAGGCCGCACGTACGGAAGCTTCCTGGCTCGAGACGACGTCCATTCCCCGAAGTGAAGAACCCAGGGGTCCAGTGGAGGTGGGAGAATTGGTAACGTAACGAACGGTTTAATTACATGGTTGCGATACAGTCGTCAAATCCGAGAGAGAACAACGGAGCAGCCTTACGCTCCGCCTTATATAGGGTCCGTTTTCTCCCTCACTCCCCGCCAGGGCAGCAGGTGCGACGTAGCAAACCGCCGCCAAGTGCGTTGCAGCAAAGTCCGCCGCCATGTGCGACGCAGCCAAAGTCCTCCGCAGTTAGGCCATGCCTCTCTCCCTTTCCTGAGCGCACAAACCCACACGCACACACACACGTCCCGTTGACGTCACGGACGCGTTGAGACTTGTTACCGCAGGCCCCGACAAGCGGGCGACGGTCCCGGACTCGTCTTGACTCGTGTCCGCAGCGTTGAAACTCGGAAGAAGGTCGCCGAGGGTTCCATTCTGAACAATAGCCAAAGCTCCGACTTTCAACCGATTTATCTTAAAGGAACGCATATCGACGTGAAACTGGAACACATAGTCGACTGTCGCAGACTGTGGCAGATGGCTTTGTGTTTTTCACGTTCTTATTTCACAACAGTATGCACTCCTTCGAAATAAGTCAGACGAAAGTCAATGCTCCGTCTGTGTACCCCGTCCTCTCACACTTAGCTTAGCAGCGCTGTTTATTTCTCGTAACAGTGGGCAGACACCAGCTCTCCCGATTTTCTACTGTACTGCTTTACAAACCGCTTCAGACATGATAAGTGGAATGTATGCGTACAAGTGTTCTAGCCAAGGCCCCCGATAAAATTCACGCTTCGCTTTTTTTAAAAGTACCGATGGCCATTGTTCCGCCAATGTCTGAGACGCCAATTGCTTCCAAGGGTCGCACGTGGCATGCGTCTCGTGCATTGGCGCATCTGACATTACTTCTAAGACAAACACAAACCCATCAAGGGGCTTTAGTCTTAGCCGTTAGCCAGACTTTCCAAGAGGCCGAGCACATGTTCAACCTCTGGAAAAAAAAAAGCGACAACTTTTCATTCCCAATATTTATGTTTGACGCTTCTCAACCTGAACAGCTTGCAAGCACTGTATGGGCTCCCGCAAGACAATTAAGAAAAACCATGTGCATTGACTCTTGCTCTGTACAGCGCAATCCACTTATAATGATAACGAAAAAGCCCGAAAATTCATAATGAGAAACAGCGGAAAAGGGACAGGACACAAAGTAGAAGAAGGATACAGGACATACGCTGACTAACAACCAAAGGTTTACTATAACTTCCATGCACGCAGTGGCCCCCACAAGTACAAGCTATTCTTTCTCTTCCAAAAGAGATAAATGCTAATAAAGAAAGAAACAGCGGCACTAGAAGGATGTTGCAAAACGCGTGACCAGAATAAATATTAAAAAAAATCTGACAGTGGCACGAGAAAACAATAAGATCATGCGCTGCGTACACTCATTATGTTGTTCAACCAACCAGCCCAGCAAGGTATCCTGTTACACAAAATTCAATCGTTATAACCGACTATCTTTGTATCTAGACTAGAAACTCCAGAAACTGATTGTCATAAGCAGTACATTATTATATGTGGTATCGTTATAAGTGGATTGCACTGCACTATGCCTTGGGAAACAAAACCCAATCACTGAACGGCTTTTGGAAACACACAGACTGCTAACGAGTCAAAATGCAAAAGCATTCGTATACGTAGCGTATTCCTCCAAGCTGCGCGCCGCACTGAGCCCGGCCGGACGACCTCTGTGGAAGCTGCCCAGGCGGGCTCTGCAGCCGGCCATTCTGCAGAGCCTGGCCACCCTCTCCCTCTTACCAGCACCGGGCCGCTGCACCATGGCAGTGGGGTGGCGTTTCTTTGAACTATGCCGCGCGCCAGCCAATGGGAGTTTATCCATCAATTCACTACTACAGACCACAGGCTCCGCTCCATCACACAGGGGAATTTAGGTGCCGTTTGGCACGGCTTCAAAAGGTGATAATGCCGGTTCACTCAATGGGACAGTTAATGCTTTTGCATTAAAAACCCGACCGTGAAAGGGTTAAAGCGGCCAGTAACCGTAAAGCCTCAGGCACACTCCTAATACACCATACAGAAGACGGTCTGCAGAGGCTGTCAGAGACGTGTCTATTCCTTGCATGACGGTCCCATCAAAGTGGCCACACAAAACCCGTCTGCAGACACGTTCGAAGTATACATACTACGCATGAAGAAAACATGCTTCAGACATGCGTGAGGCGTGACTGCACGTGATTTTCTCAACATGCCTACAGCGAACACTGTGACTTCTCTTTGATGCATAAACAGCGTGATTGCGGCTTAACACCATCGACTTTCAGAAGTACGAAAGCTATAAAAAGCAACAAAAAAAATAAGAGGAGCCCTTACCTGTATTCCATACCAAAGCTGCTCCTTAGAGACCCCCTTGGCCAGGAGGAAGTCCACCACCCGGCGGGCGTTCAGCAGAGAAACCAAAGTGCTGCACGGGTGATGCGCCAGCCGCTCCTTCACCTCAACTTCGTCCCGGTTCAGCAACTTGGACAGGAACTCCACCGTCTCCTGGAGCGGCCGTTCGTGACAGCACGCCAGGCAAATGTCGATCCGGTTAAGGCCGGTTTGCATACTTGCGACTGCTTACGACCTTTCGTGATTTGTTACGACGAGAGAATGTGCTGGCACGCGGGCACCATCTACGAGGCAGCCCTGAAACTGCATTTCATCGGAGCGAAGGTTTTGCGGTATTTGCGACATGGAATGTATGTGCTATCTATGAGAGACTGCTGTTTGAAACATTGTGAAGTGTTTTTCGAGCCACAAAAGAAAGAATGATGCACTAAACAAAAATAGGAAATATACGAAAATTGCGAGTGCTCCACGGCCACCCGACAGATGGCGCTAGGGTGTAAAAGATCTTGTAAGAGATCAGAAGAGGCCGTAATGCACTCAGTCGTGAGCAGCTGAAAGTCCGTGAACGAGCCTTTATTTGCGTTTCATTGTTTGTCGATGAATTCAGTCGTGCAAAATTGTTCCAGAAGCTGGGACTTGTTGTAAAAGACCAAATTAAGCCAACCTGACTTATTTATAGAAGAATAACAATTTAATTGGACATTTTGTCTCCCATACAGGAGACATGTGCCAGTGACGCCAAGGTGGCAGAAATAAAAAGACACGACTACTAGCCCTATATAGGGAGGTCCGCCTACACTTTGGGAAAGGGCCGCAGTTGACACTGCAGGCATGATGAATCGCTCTGGGCAAACCACAACTTTAGTATCTCTCCCGGTGGACAGCCGAGGATCCCCTCCCTGTTTTGGCGTGAACGTAATTAAGAGGCGTAGAAGCCCATAGAATAGTAAAGAGCCTGTAAACAGTAATCTACATACAGTATAGGCCACTTACAACATAACCGCTTATAGTGCAGGACCGGGTATAACGCGGCTTTTTTAAACCACCGGTTCGCCTCCCACAGAACTCCATGTAATTACATACCGCTTAAAATGCAGGCGCGCGAAGGGAAATACCGGTTATAGTGAGGTTTCTGGAACAACCCGCCGATTGCGCCGACCGACCGGCAGAGCGAACACGCTTCCCTGTGCGACACTAGATAACGGCGCTAGCCGCAAGCGGCACTCGCGGGGCGAGGAGGTTGCTCGAAGAAGCGGCGAGAAGCGAAGAGAGAGGCTTCAGTTGCCATAGCGACGGAGGGACGCACGCACGTGTCGTTCTCGTACGTGCGTCCCTCCGCTGCGTTGGAAACAACCGCAACGACAGACCAATCGCAGGTCGAGGAGACGTGTTTGCGAGTGTTGCATGCCGGTCGCGTGCCGGCTTCTTCTATCCGCAAACATGGTGTCAATTGTGATCGTCGTCGTAGACGGCGTGGTGGAAGCTCATCGTTCCGCGTAAAAGCGCTATCCTTGACTGTGAATTTTTGTTGTGTGTTGCAATGATAACCCAGCACGTACTAAAAGGGAAGATCCACCTACTCGTGCGGCGATGTCGTGGCGGCACTCTCAAGACGGCAGAAACGCCCGTGTCGTCGTGCTTGTTTACTTCGACTACAGTGGTGCTTTCTAAGCATTTGTGTTTTCAAACATCGCCCGGATTTCTTATTTGGAGCATTTCATGCCTGCGCTCAAGTTGAAGGTATTACTGGCGCGTACCTATAAAGGATGCCAATTTTTACGCGTTTTCATCACCGGAGAAAAGTGATTAGGGTTCGCAATCCTGAACGCTCGCAACGTCTGTCCGGAATTTGCGAAACCGTTAAAAGGCTGCGCCAGGCAAAAGTCACTAATTTCTTTCAAAATGTGTGACACACTTGAGAGAGAAGTGTAATAGTCTGGTGAAATAAAGACTTTCCTCAAATTAAGCTTTATTTTTTATCTAATATAAAATAAATTGTTTTACAAAGGTAAGTTGTCTCATGGCATGTATTTTGGCCTGAAAAATTGATGTTTTCGTTATAACGCAGTACCGCTTATAGTGCGGATTTTCGCGACTCCCGGGACATACGCTATATGCGGTCTACACTGTATTAGGGAATATCTGGCACATAGAGACATCGACTGATGGCATCTGAGCCATCGATCAATGGCTCAGCATCTTGTAAAATAGCGCTTAAGATGAATGACCACTTCACTTGGGGGAGGGCCGAGGAAATTCGGAAGCTTGGGGAACACCTAAGGGTACTCTGGGGATACTCCTGGGTTCCCAAAATCCAGTTTGGGAACCCATGATCAAGTATATAATCTTAAAGGGGTGGTGCAACGATTTTATGATTAAAACAATTTGCATCTCGTCATTTTTACGTTGTTTATCGTATCCCAGAGGATAGAAAAACACTTCCTTTATTAAAAATGTCGCGATTCCGCTGCATAATCGCAAAGCAAAAGTCGACCTTTTTCCCCCACCTGCAGCCCCAAGTGGCAGCCGAAGGAACTGCGGCGGAAAGATTACGTGACCTCGCTCGGCTCTAAGCTGCAGCATAGCGCCCGCTAATGTACGCAGAGAGAGGGAGGGGAAGCGTCCTCCGAGATAGCACACGGGAAGCTACACGGCACTCCGAATGACGTCACTGGGAGTGTGACCAGGTGTGACCCTGAAGACTGGGAGTGAGTTGAGGGGTGCCCGAAATGCCAATCTTTATCTTTTTTTTACGCAACAACTAGGACACGCAGGCGAAATCGGTTTTCTGTTCTTTACTTCAGAAGTGTCAGGGGGCAACTTCCAGAAATCTTTGACCGAAGTCCGAAAATTGTTTAAACATCCTACCTGAAAAGCAAAAGTCAGGTTCATTGCATATTTTTGTCAAATGGGGACAGAATGCCATCACACTGTTGAAACAATCACCATTTCGTAAGACTACCCGCAATTCCCGCAATTCCCTGACAAGTCAATAATTATTCTAGACTCAATCAAAAGAAACCAGAAATCATAAACTTGGATTGAGCGCGTTGGTAGTCAATTCAAAAATATACGAAAGAGTCAGAAATCATAGCGTCTTGCTGCTTCAAGACGCCTCGCGTAACATTTGGCGAAACTGCAAAAACACATTTCTTTCTCTAGGAACTTCCTCCAAAGGTAATGGAACTTCCGGGTTCACTCCACACAATATATCGTACCTGCGAGCGTCCCCTGTCGCTACCGCTGTAAAAGACTCGCGCAAAGTCCTTCGAGCCCATGCTGAGCACGTGCATGGACACTCCTGCTTCATAGCCAAGGTGCGAAAGCAGCTCCAGGCGGTGCTTGGCCTTGGACGCGTAGTACACCAAGTTCAGGATGCGGGGGCACTCCTTGCGCACCTGGAATTCCGCCACCTGCGAACGCGTTGACCCCACACCTCCATTATTGCCTTCAAGGCTTCGGCAACGACGGAGGCCTAAACGACAGCGAGCGGAGCGTGCAAGTGGCTGTCCGGACCAACATGACGAGTACTCCCCGAGCCTCTGTCCAAGAACGCAAGCAAAGGGACGCTTCCCCCCCTCCCCGGGCAAAAGGTGCGCGCCAACAAAGACCACTATTGGAGGAAAACTCGACTTCCAGTACGGCAAATGCCGAGACTGCAGAAAATGTGTCTCGTTTGTGCGGCCCTTTAGATACGGTTCCCGAAACGGGTCTTCAAGTGGGGTGCTTAGCGTGCCATTCTATCCGTGCACTGAAAGCGGTCCCGAAGCGGCAACAAACGACGTCCAAAACCTGGAGTGTCGCGCTGCCGAAATTCGCAATCCCAGCGGTTGGGTGTAGGCGTTCCGGCAAAAACAACGGGAGCCAATGCAAGCGTTGATGCGGTCGCGAAATCTCGGTTCCCGGCTGTGGAAGCTTCCCTGGACTGTTGTGCTGGAGAGAGAGACTTCAGGCAGAACACGCGTTTGCCGCGTCCACCAGCACCACCGCGACACCACTGGGATTGCAAATGGTGACGGCGTGACACTTCTAAGACGTCGTTGGGCAGAACTCGAGGGACCACTTTTTGGGACGCCTTATCCCCTTACCTACTAATAATGAGTGTAATTTGTGCCACCCATTGGGGGCTGCAAAGCCGAACCATGAGCGTGACTCCCTGGCAGATGGCGAAACCACCCCTGTTGCCTTATTTACCCTGGGTAGTTTGCTCGTCCATTTTGCCATTTGACAGAGAGAGAACGCTCTATTTAACAAAAAAAATATAAGCAGTCGCTCGTGAGCGTTCGCACTAAAACAACGTGGCTTCGGCATGGAGGTCCTCTCTAGCCGACTAAGAGATGCTCAGGCATATGCGACGGCAAATCCTTCTTTCCGATTTTTAGGAGTCGGACGATAGTTTGATGGGCAGCGACGGGAGCGATAGAAACCACATGAATCCTGCAAGAGTTCCATCAACTTTGGTGGCTGTGCATCAGTGGGACTCGGACCAGAGGTCCTGATTTAGAGCAAGATACGACACCCAGAAGTCGAGAAAATGCTTTTGTCCTAATTTAATGCAAACTGCCTGTTTAAAAAAACAATTGGCTGTGCGTTCCACGGAGAAAAAAATGAGAAGAAGACAAGGGGTTAAGCACACCAGGCAGAGACGCATTCCAGGAACTGGTTTTAGGGACGCGCAAGAGCGCACCTTGTCCAGCTCCTGCAGCCGCGCCGCGATGGTGGCCGGGCTGAGCCCGTAGATGCCGATGCAGCGTGCTGCCTGCGCCTGGGAGATGCCGTATTGGTGCAGGAGGCGCTCCACCCGCACCACGTTCTCGGAGGGCACCGTGAGCAGCCGGGGGCACAGGTTGCCCAGCTGGCGCACGTCCATTCCGGCCAGGTGGCGCACCTGGCACAGCAGGTTCTCCAGGTTGTTGGGGTGGGCCAGCAGCACAAAGCCGTTGCTCACTATCTGCGCAAATGGGGAGTTTGGAAACGGGACGGTCGCACAAACAGCGGTGATGGGGCAAAATAATTTGATGCCCCTTAATGCCGTTTTTTTGCCTCTTAATTTAAGCGGAACGAAGAAATCGATGCAGTTTGTGGCTTCAATCGGGAGTCATTAACTGCTTCGAGGACATTATTGTCTACAATATTATCTTTATTTTGTGCAAATCAATATTTGCTCGTTAGTACATGCACCACTACTGCTAGTATTGTGGCAAGCAGGATAGAAGTGTTGAACTTTTATGCAACTTTGACCCAGTATCGGTCTGTTCACACTTGATTGATGGTAGTCATCAATCAAGGCATCTGGTGGTGTACGCAGCAACGATAAAGTTGTCACTATTTGGCACCCCTTCGAAACAATTTTTAATCGATTGAGACTGCCCCACTATAGGCCCATTGGCAAGAAGTTCAAAGAACACAAGAAGAACGTTGGTCTGGTGGCTGTGGACTTGATGGCTGCGGTGACTAGAGGACCACAGCTTCCTCTATGACTGAATCTGACCAGACAAAGACAGAGCTCAAACATGCGACCCGACTATAGCTTCAATCACATCCCGCCCACACGCCAAATCCAAGGTGGTGGCAACTCAGCTCACAGCACCAGTTTGGTAGATGTAATTGGTCCAAACTATACGAGGGAAGTTAATTAAATAAAGCAAGAAGTTGTACAGCATCGACAATTTCAGTCACTGTTATACCTAGGCCATATACTTTCTGGTTTTTTAACATATCCGTGCAAGCAGCAGTTTTTTTTTTTCAGCGAACAAGTCCTATATGTAACATTTGTCAAACTCTTTTTTTTTTTTTTTTTTACGGTTGTTGACTGTCAGATAGGTCTCCTAAAGTCTCTTATTAATTGAGATTTTTTTTTCTTTTCTCTCAGTGCTGGTTACTTTGACCTTCAGTTTATGTCCACAAAAGTTTGGCCTCGTTGCGCCCTTTTGTAGATTACCCCGTTGAAGGTTGCCTCCTTTTATGTACGCGCAAGTCACTGGGCCTTTTCTGTTTATGATTGGTTTAAGCGCTGAGAAAACATGCACATAAATGAACACCATAATGATGCACTTTTGATGCAGTCTAAATAATCTCATCGGCTTGTTCCGTTGGCTGCATCTGGACTAGAGGTGAAACGGTGTATAGGTCAGTTCGGAGTTCTTCGTGTGGGTTTCGGACACAAGATCTTGGTTGCTGTCTTTATCTTGCCCAAAACCATGCACCTTACCTGTCTCTCGTAATGTTGAGTTTAGAGCAGTCTTGATACCCTCGCTCTATCCAGGTCAGAATGGGAGAACAGGGTATTGGTTGGGAGAAAGGAAAGAAAGGAAACTTTCTTGTCTTGTCGCGAAAATTACTTGAGAACACTTCAAGTTTCGCATCACACGGAGCAGATGGGAGCCACCAGGATGTGAAGAAAAGCTAAAGCTCCAAACAAACAATGCGTATTCATGAAAAGGCAGGCAGTGGTGATAGTTAATCATGATGTTTAAAACCTGAGACTGCGATGAGGGAAAAGACAGGAAAGTTTGAAATCAAAGAAAAAAGGCACAGGAGAGACGTCTTTGCCTGCGCCTTTTTTCTTAGACTTCGAAGTTTCTTCTTTCTCCCCCCACCACAGTCTCGGGTTTAAAATATCACGATTGTGTTTCAGATGTAAATAAAAGTGGAACCGCTACTCCTCTTGATTGTTTCATTCACAATTTTTTTCCGTCGCTAAAAGCCGTTTAAGCGCCTGCTTGAGACAATTTATCGCAATGCATCAGTATTTTGGAAATAAACACCAAAAAACATCCACTGATTTTTTACGTAAATGAACACCAGGAAGTATACGGCCTAGTTATACCCTTCCTCTACGAGGTGAATGAGATTCCCGCAAAAAGGCCCAAAAAGTGAATCAAGCATGTTTAGAATTCCGGCGCCCGATAAATTGGTCGGTGGCTATTGGCCTCGAGATCGACCTAGAGGTGGCGCTACGGTCGCGCTATCATCATCATCAAAGCGGGGATAGGAGAACGGCCGCCCCATAGGCTTTCCACGTTCGCGCGCGAGACGGCGTAGATTCTTGCGTTTAGTTTGTCACATACTATAGGTGAGAAAACTATTCTAGCGGTAGAGGATGCGGTACTGTTCGGTGCTTCAGTGAAGATCGAATGGTGTTGCCAGCGTGCGGCCTAAATTTATATAATCACTTCTGTGGGAGCGTCGTCTGCTCTATGCAGACGTTGGAAAGCATGGATCACCACGACTGATGCCTGTTTCCGGCTGAACTGGAATATTTATGTTAAATATTTGTTTCTTTTAAAATGGATGTATCGGTTCATCAGCGCGGGAATTAAAAGAAAAAGCCATAAATTCCAACCCAGATAACATAATACTGGTACTGCGGGCTGTGAAATCGCAGCTTCTATGTTTTTATTTCAACTTCTAGCTTTTTCAGTAATACAAATATTTGGAATGAAGATAAGTTAGCGCTGTAATGGAAATTACTACACTATTGAGTTCCTCTGCCCTCTTACTGTGCCATAGTGCGGGTAAGTTTTTTGGAGTCGGATCAAATCTACTGCGTTGCGACGAGGAGAGAGTGTCTCTTCTAGTTAAGATCAGCAAATTGCACGGTTGACAGGATAACGGAAACAAGTGAAAGAAACTGTTCTAATATATCTGCCGTGACTATAAAAAACGAGTGTAACCGAGCAACGCAGCAATGTTTCTGTTATTAAATGCTTTTCTCGGTAGTGCGAGTTCACCCGCTTCAATTTTCTTGGTGAGGGCCGCGGATGTCAAGAGGCTAATACTATAAATTTCTGGATAAATAATCTTGTATTCAAACACAGTAGACTCTGCGATCCCAACAAACGACGCGCACCACGACATAGACAGCATCGGCCGCAGTGATACTATTTTACTAGCGACCTTCACGAGACTTTCCGAACAGCCTCCGCCCTCACCTAATGTATATCGGGATTGGGCAGTTCATCGATTAACTTTCAAATTATTCAAGTAATGCTTCAATTGCAATTTTTTTTTGACGGTTAATTTTAGTCTTGCGCTGGAGAAAGTCAACAAGAAGTAAAAAATGCCTGCTTTAATATTCTTGACGTCTCTATTTCTTTTGTGACACAGGCTTGCACGGTAAACCACTTCAGCGTGCTTTTCATTACTGTTTAAATAATAACTTAAACAATACTTCATTCTAAAAGACTTCCCGTGTTCATATTTATGTAGGACACACAACATGAAGTTTAGAATGGGAATGCAATATGCCATTTATGACACAGTAAAACCAGTAAAAAATGAGTAGTTTTAACGTCTTTCACGCAATGTTACCGGCGAAAAATCAGCATACGGATTTATTTATTGATTAATTTATTAAAGGATAGCGATCAGTCGGGTTAATTTTCTAATCGAACCACAGCCCACTCAACATTCAATGATTTATGAAAGCCGCGGTTTGTGCGAGATAACAAATATACGTGGGACCAGCGATTGTATACAAACCAACACACTAATATTATGGAAGCTTTCGACTTCCTAATAATCGCTTTGCTGAATTTCTACGCATGGGAAACGATACGACACAACCTTTAGTAAGAAGAAACGGCAACAAAAGCATAAAACATTTAGTAAGGAATGTCAAGCTCAGCCTGAAACAGGCTTGCGTCGTCGGGATCCATGCTTCTGAGCGTGCGCCCGTAGCAGACGACGCACGGCGGTATCCCCGCTTTCGCGCGTTTCCAATTTCGGCCGCACGGTGGCGACACGGTTCGATCTCGAGGCGAATACGTAGAAGCAGTTGATAATGGTAACTCACTCCAGTCAAAGCAGTATTCTAGCATATTTGAGAAGGGTCTGCAACATCCTTTATCCAGGAAACATGGAATATCTAGGTTTCACCGGCAGACTGCTCACAGTCACTGTCGGCTGAAGAAACACAGGATGCAGCAGTTCCCACACACCTTATCGCTTCCCAGTCAAAGAGACTGCAGCATTAACTGATAAGGACGCCAAAGAATGAACTGTGAAGCAAGAAGTGCAAACATAACCAGCCACGCTCTGTGTTTGTTAAAGAGATACTGAACTGAAATTTGAATTTCGCAAAATAAGGCCGCAGAAGCGTTGAACAGGATGCTACGAACTCCAAAACATCACTTAACATCAATATCTCGAAACGGATGGCTTTTCGAAAAGAAAGGTGCGATCAAGCAAGGTCTTTGAATTCATTGTCCTAAGGGAGAATTTGAGAATGAGGGGAAGCGGCCTCACTTCGGTTCACCAATTCGACGGGACGTAGCGACGAGGAGAGGGAATGGGAATCGTGATTCGACTAATCTCGTTGGCCTCGTCGGCCAGGTTCGACTGCGCACTTCTTTCCAAAAAAATAGGGCAATCTGTTAGAGATACGCAGTGTCAGTGATGTTTTGGGGTTTTGCAGCATCCTGCCTATTCGTCCAGCCTTGTTTTGCGAGCTCAAAATTTCGGTTCAGTATCTTTTTAAGCTGTCAGTGAACATACATACACCCACCCAGTGGCAACAATAGGGGGGGGGGGGATTGATTTGGGTGCAGCAGTCAGGGGTGCAGCTGGACAGTGAAAAAGGGGGGGAGGGAGTGGGGTGATGCAGCGAGCCCGGGGGGGGGGGGGGGGGGGGGGGGGGGGGGTGTCACGGCAGGCCATTTGCTCGCGTGCGGCTGACCCTAGTGATGCCACTGCACCTACCTTTTTGCAGGTGAAGTTAAAGTTGTTGGTAGCGATCTCAATGGTCCTCCGGAGGAATTGCAGGCTTCTGTTCTCCACAGACGGGTACTTGGCGATCAGGGCCGCCACCTCCTCCCTGGAGCACTTGAGTCGCCAGCTTAGGTAGGAGCGCACCACCTCCCGCTTGACCGCCTTCATGCTCATGGTGAGCGTGTAGTGCAGAGGCAGCCTCGACAGGATTTCGGCCTGGACACTCTGCGGGCAGTCCAGGAAGGAAAGCATGTGTACCGCCGGATCCGTCTCCGCTGGGAATCAGCCGGTGGCGCTTCAGCACGTATGCCGGTTTGGCCACTATATCCTGGAACCTGCGAGTGCAGATTTGGGGACGTTGCACACTTGCTTCGAAAGTGAAGTTCAAAGTCAAGACTTATAGCGGATTTCGACGAAGTTCATCTTTTCAACAGTGTGGCCAGCCTTCTGAAGAAACATTTATATTTATTCAAAAAATGGTACAGGAGCAATCAAATTACCTTAATACATTTTCAGAAGCACATTCAGTGTCCTAAGCCGAACTTAGAACAAAGGTGAACAGAAACTTGCCAAGTTTCATTTTGGCTCACTTTTGAAAAAAATCGACACCCTGCTCTCCAATTTGGCATCGCCATCGGTTAGGATTCCAGTTTTTGGCTCTGCAAACCTGCTTATATGTTCTCAAACTTGGAGTTGTTTTGCTCCCGAAATTGATGCCCCATTTGGACATAGTTACCTAGCTCCGCGAGCATACCTTCTTTTTTTTTTTTTTTTATAGAGTCAAACACGTCTTACTTTTACGTCATTGACAAATACCAATATCAGTTCGCTTTAGTTTTGGCTCACCCAACTACTTTGCCAGGGGTCACAGTCTTGACGCCCATCTCCTCCAAATTATGGTACCGCTGCTCCGCCGTGCCGAACTGGAAGCTCAGGATTTCGGGGTGCTTCAGGATGTCCTTAAGCGGGAAGAGTGCCTTGAGAATGCCCATGTTCTTCACCAATGTCTCCTGCTTGATGTCGAGTAGCTTTTTGTTCCTCATCAAAATGCTCGTCGCACTAGACGTGGAGCACTTGAGGTGGTCGACTAAGAGTTCAATGCGCTCATGGGTTTGGTGAGCGAGACTACCTTCAGGTTCATCAACATACCCTGCGTCACTTTCAGACGACGGCGAATTCTGTAGAGCCGACGAGCTTAGGCACATTTTCAGCTGGTTCCCGAAGGGACCCGGGATGCGAGCAAGTTTCCACAACGAGCTCAGTTTGAAACTGCTTGCGAGCATGTTAAACTCACGCGTTAATGCGTTTTGTGCATGGGTTTTTCATGTCTGACGCTTACAGAGGCTTGTCAAGAAAAGAAGTTGAGGTGGTTGAGGAGTTTCCAAAACATTGTTGCACACGGAACGACGGAGCATGGAAACGATGGAAACTTTCTGCGACCGCCATTTTGCCGGGCAGCAGCGACGCCTTGCGGTGAATTTTTAAAAGGGGAGTTTCGGCGGTTTCGGTTTCGTATTCTTGGGTGAACAGGCCTCGGTGAACCACGCGCTAGCTTTTAGCGTCTTCTAGATTTAATTACGAATTCAGTAAAAGTATACCATATTAAAATGAATTGTAAAAACGATGTCAAAACTGTGGCGTAGCTATGTGGCATCACGGACGCTTCACATGCAGCGGACCCAGGATTAAATCCAAAAAGCAAGAAGCGTATCTTTTTTTTTTTCTTTTTCTTTTTTTTTTTCGAGCAACATTTGGCAGAGATTTTGACCTTGTAGGGTGTCGTAGCCGCAACGGAAAACCCCTTCTCCCAGCTCCCATCGGCCGCGCAGCGCGGAAATAGAAGACTGGGGAGCCCCGGCGTCGCGCCAGTAATGACGTGACGAAATGAGAGTCTCACGTGTCGTCTGCTTCAAACACTTGTTTTCAAACATTACTCGCGTGATGCGAATTCCCGCTTCGGCAGTATCCAGTTACTCTGCGTAAAGTTGGATGGTTTTAGAAACTTCCACCGGGCTTACCCACTTGCTTCACGGACTCCCGACCACTGGTGGCGGTCTTCAGTAGTATCCACGACGCCAACTACGACGGCTGCGTCGCACCTCCGTCCTCAGTTCGTGAGGGCACCATTCCACCCGCATTGCGCAACCGTGCTACAGCTATCGCTTTCCTTTCTTCGCGCATTGTGGGCGAAAAATACAACCGGTTTCAGTCGCGCTTACTGTCACTTCCATGGTCACGTGGTGCTCAAAATATGTATACCAAATGTATTCAAAGTCTTGGGTTATCTAAGACACACATTGAATATTTAAAATAGAAAAAAATATGAACCCCATTTTTGTGACCTCCAAGAAGCTGCAAATACGTTATCGAAAAATGAAAGACTTTTACAAATCTATGTAATGCGAAATTAGAGTGCAGCTCTTGAGTTGTTTTGATTTTGCGATATGCCGTGCTAAACAATTTGAAAAAGAAATATATATATATATATATATATATATAAAGTTTCTTTTTTTAAGTTTACATTTTTGCGTAAAAAATCCGTGAAAGTTACATTTATGTGGTTTATGCAGGTGAGTTATACGGCCATAGTATAGGGGGCTAATCGTAACGATCAGTCGGCTAATTAATTAACATTCGTTAGTTAACGGTTTAATTAGTGAAAATACACATATGGTTTAAATTAGACACTTACTGAGTGTCATCGAAAACCACTAAATCCACTCTTTTTAGTGCGACTCCAGCTCGTGAAAGACTCGGGGGCACACCAAAGTTACCACTCGTGAAGCTGGCGCAAAGCTAGCAGTGGCGGAACGCAATGATAATAATCTAATCATCCGTGTTCTGCCACTGCTAGCTTTGCGCCAGCTTCACGAGTGGTAACTTCGGAGCGTCCCCGAGTTTCTTACGAGCTTCAAGTCGTTCTAAAAAGAGCTGATTGAGTGGTTCTCGATGGCACTCGGTAAGTTTCTAATTTAAACCATATGTCTATTTTCACTAATTAAAACGTTAATTAACGAATTTTAATTGATTGGCCGACTGGTTGTTATGATTAGCCCCCTATGCTATGTTCCCCTGGCCGTATAACTTACCTGCATAAACCACATAAGTGTAGCTTTCTTCACGCATTTTATTAAAACAAATTTGTAAAGCTTAATAAAAACCAAAAAAAACACCCTGTATATATTCTTACACAGACTTGTACGTAATCCGTTACAAGTAACGAAATTAGTTGTGATCCCTTACATTTATCAGTAATTTAGTAACGGAATAATTACATATTTTCTAGAGTAATTTTAGAGTAATTCCCTTACATTTTTGACGTAACGGATTCCTTGTAATCCGTTACATTTTTTTGTCAGAACCCCCCCCCCCCCCCACCCCCCCCATTCTGAATAGTTTTTTTTTTTTTTTTCATTTTTGTAAAGTCGAGCGCAGTGACACTGTCACGCGAATTGAGCAGCGCAAAGGGAGGCTTGGCACTCTTCAGTTCCGCAAAGCCTTCTTTTGCAACACCAAGCCCATGAAACTATTTTTTTAGACCCTAACAACAATGTAAAAAATTCCAAATGAACATTTCTACAAAAAAAAAAAAAAAAAGAGGGGGTGGGGGGGGGGGGGGGTCAAGTCATTTCCGTTTTCTTAGTCCCTTTGTTTTTTCTTTGCGGTCGAAGACGGAGAGACTAGGACACCAAGTGATTGTGCGCCTCTTCGAGAAGCTCGAGGCGGTGAGTGCACTGAAAAGAATTAACAATGTCCTTCTCGGTTACAGTGACTTCGACCATTTTCATAATGTCACAAAACGAGACAACGCTCCGTCTACCCTGCCCTTTTTGTGAGTCAGCTTTTTGCGAGCACTTAGAAAATGGTAGTAGTCTTCCTTTCTTCTTCTTCCTGTTTTTACCCCAGCAGGACGCATCTTATCTGAAGCAGATATTTTTACAAATAAAACATAATGGTGGCTGAAGTAGACTTGATATTCTGGGCTTGAGGAGAGAGTGAAATTCGTGAGTTGGGCCATAGCGCGGCCTACTTAGTACTCTACCCTTTGCTGCCCGTGGCATCAGCGGACGTCTGTCTGGAGAACACCGGAGTAAACTGCAGTCGGTTCGTGCTCCGTGCGTTTTTGAACGGCACCAGGAAGGTACACACGGTAAACGTGCGTTTACATTTCCTTGTTTTAACCGACGTTCTAATTGTTGTTATGAGAGTCCTTCGTTTTCTTTTATTACTTATATTTATATACTGGAAACTTTTTTTTATTCACTAACGTCTCAAGTGAGGCTCGAACTGTTCAGAACCAAAGGAAGAAGAATATCGAGCCAAACCTTATTTATTATTTAATTATCACCTTACTGTTACAACTATGTTTTGCTATTGATGACTTCCACAGCTTCGCGATTTAGACAATGGAGAATTTTAGTAGATCGGTCCGATGACTCCGATAACGATATCCGATACTTCGCCGCCGTCTTTGCGTATGCATCATATCGTTATCGGGTACCGTTATCGCGGGTATCGAAGGTATCGGAAGGATCTACTAAATCTCTTGAATAGCAAGCAACGGCTGCAACGACGAAGCTTTGCTCTACATTCGAGGTAAATAGTACTTCCATTGCTTCGCTGAAAAAGATCAATGCGGAGCAAGAAGCATTCGCGAGGCAGAATATATCATTCCCATCAGGTGCCTCAGTTCAAAGTGTGTTCAGCGTATCAGTCGAAATCTCAGTAAAAAATAACCCAAAATGTCTGATGAGACTTTCGAGAGTCAGCTGTTGCTCAAAATACTCACGGTCAATAAATGGAACACGTTGCATCAATAAGAACTTGAATAACCCTCTTCCCTTTGTTTTTTACTAGAGGACAATAATGTTAAAAGTAACGCCACGAAAGTAACGGATTACTTTTTGTAGTAACGGTCAGTTACTTTTATGGGAGGGTAATTGTAATTGTAATAAATTACAATTTAGCCTTGAGTAATTGTAAATGTAATTCCTTACTATTTTTCAGTAACGTGAACAAGTCTAATCTTACATATACTACTAGTTCTGCACACTCCTCCTCTTACGCGTTCTCTTCCTCCTTCGTGACCGCCTCCTTCGTATGCTCCCCTCCTCCTCTTCGGTACCCTCCCCTCCTCCCCCTCCATACTTTCCCCTCCTCCCACAGCTTCCCCGCTAAATTTAGCTGGAAAAGTGACGCCACGTGAGCTCAATACCAATAAATTTAGCGGGGGAAAATGACGTCAAATGACTTCGTGTCACATCACATATAAACAAATTCCCATAAGCGTGCGCACGAGGGGGGCAGGGGGGCGGCCGCCCCCTCTAATCATCTAGGGGGGGGGGGGGGGGGGGGGGGGGGGCAAAGTTGGCCCGACTCGAGGCGCGACTGGAAAGCTTGGAGTTTCAATTCCGCATGAAAATGGCCCATCCTGTGCTGCAGATGGTCCTCAAGGTTAGCCGCATGCTCCAGGATCCAAAAATAAATTTTCTTACTGCGTTCCAGGGAGTGAAAAAACTCTAAGAAGCTCTCAAGGAAATGAGGCTGGACGAGAGTGCATTTACAAAGGTGTTTCAAGGTGCCACAGAGATATGCCAGACTCGCGGGATCAGTATTCCTGCTGTGAGACAGAGGAAAGTGTCTAGACGCACGGACGTGAACTTCCTTCGCCAGTGGGTTTTTTCCCGAAACAAAGGAGGAAGAACTCCGCGTCAGCGTTTTTTTACCCCATGCTTGATGCTTTCGTTGAAGGAATTGAGGCAAGATTCACGCAGGAGACCGTCCTTCTCATACCTGAGATAATGAACACTCTGCGCCTCACTGCCAATGACGAGGAGATAGACGTTGTCACTAAGTATTTTGACGTGGAGTCTGACAGCTTGTGGGATGAGCTCCTCTTACTAAAGGCACAGGTTAGCACAGAGCACATAAAGTTCGGTGACTGTAATGAATGGCTAGACTGGTTGCAACAAAACGGCCTAGGAGCGTTAGTTTATAAGAAATTTTTTTTAAATCCTCAAAGGCTTTTTGCAATTGTCCCTGTCACTAGCTGCTCATGCGAGCGAACGTTTTCAAAGCTCGCCATTGTGAAAACAAAGCTGAGATCAACTATGGGTCATGAACGGCATCGGTGGCTGCTTTTACCGTTCGTTGAGCAACAGATTGCATTGCCAACAAGTTCTGAGTCAGTCATCGAACAGTTCGCGACAAAATCGCGTAGAATTTTGCTTTAGACTTTTCACGATTGGTGAAAAGTACTATATCTCCCACGTGCTACACATTTTTAGGAATCTAGTCATAAAATATTTTTACCACCACGTGACATAACATATCCATTAGTTTGGATAATGTTTGTTGAGCATGACATAATGCGTGCGTGTTATCTTGTGCAAAAAAAGTAATTATAGCCATTGTTTCTATTACATGTTTCTATCAAGCGCCAGAAA